CCCAACTCTGATAATTGTCCCCCAATTTTAACTCCAACTTGAAACTTCTTTTTGGTTAATGTTTCATTATAAAATAAAAAATTCATATTCAATAAGAAATAATTGGCACACAGTTCAGTTCACAAAATTGAGGGCCCAAAAACGGATGACTTTTACACTCTTTTAATTAACTTACCAGAATTTTGTCTTTAAAAATCCTTTCTTATTTAAAGTTTGCCTCTTTTAAATTAATGGTGAAGGTGATAAATATTATATTCATCGTATTTCTCGAAATTTCTCGGAATTCACATTTAAATCTCGTTATTGTTGAGTGGTATAAATTATATATACCCAATTAATATAATAAACTAATAAAAGATAAATTGCTTACGTCATACAATCTGATTAAAATGCAGAAGTCCGATCTCCAACGTCATTATCGTTATACGGACTGTTCGGAATAACGTCGATATCTGTTATTATTCGAAGGAGAGACTATGGTACGCGCTTGGTATATGGACAGCAGCGATGCTGATCAAAAATTGGAACACCACAGGCAACCACCAGAATATGTTTCGCTGGATAGCCTGTTCGCCGCAACGGGCGTGGAATATTTTGAGGTTAGAAATTTGTCGATTTTTGTTGCGAATATTTGATTTTAACTGATGGTATCCTTCCACTATGATCAACAGTTATGCCGTCTCGTGCCCGATTGAGCCGTGTATTTTGAAAATACATTGACAAGATGATATGTAATTATTGTCAATTTCGACATCCATGATCAGTTGATATTGGAGCTGAATATTGATATGAATTTAATGTGTATATATATAGTTATAATAACATATATCACTTTCTATTATGTTAAATGCTAAACGTCGCTTACATTCTCACATACATATTATATTATATATAACATATTGTATATGTCCATATTTTTCTTTGTTTTCTTTCTAAAAAGTATATACTTGATACATGTACTCTCTATGGTCGTTATTAGCCTTTAGCTTTAAATTGAATCCAAAAAGTACAACTAAAAATAAATATAAGATAGATGTGATTATTTACGTAATTTTCTTTAGTTATAAATCTTACAAACCTTCGTTATTTTTCATATTATTATTTAATATTTAATGTTATTTTTACATCCGTACATTATAATACATACTATTTCAATAAAAATATAGATATAAGATATAAATTTTGTAAAAAAATGGCATGCATGTTTATAGTGAATTTTGTGAATAACATAAATTTACTGTATCATATTATGTTATTATATACAATCTATTTTACAGATAAATCATCTAAATTACGAGATAGATGCTACTCTGAAAGAACTACGCCAGAAACGCGGTTACACATATGAAGATGAGATAATATGTTCCAAAAAATACATAGAAAATTACGAAGAGAAGGTACAAAAGATATCTCTATTTTTAGAATCATAATTATTACTATTCATTATAAAAATATCAAGATTTTTAATTGATACCATATGTTTCTATATATTTAATAGCGCATATTTCTTCAATACCTTTAATTATATTAATGCCCCTCCATCCGAATTTGATTTTTAGTTAAAAATCTTCTTCGCCGAACATCTTCATACCGACGAGGAGATACGATTGATTCTGGATGGTTCAGGCTATTTCGACGTGCGGGATAAGGATGATCAATGGATCCGGATTAAAGTAACGGCCGGCGATCTATTAATCATACCCAGTGGAATTTATCATCGTTTCACTCCGGACACTAACGTAAGAATATTTACAAATGCTTACAAATTCTTTTCACATCTGATTCCTTGACTTATTTTATTTCTCTTCTTTTGTCAATCTTTGTTTAAACATTTAAAGAAATATCCTTTTTCTGTTTAATAAATATTAAACAAATCTCTAATATATTCAGAATAAATTTAAAATAAATTTCTAATCTCTATATAATAAATGAATCTCTAAGTTTTAAGAAAACTTTTAGGATTATATAAGAGCAAAGAGATATTTTGTGGGAGAGCCAGTTTGGGTGCCATATAATAGACCAGCCGAGAACATGGAATGCCGCAAGCAGTACCTCAATAATTTGCAAAAAGGTTTCGAAGTATCTTTATCTTGATAATCCCATAGATTACTGCTACACATGAGCTTCTACGAGAAAGTATATTTTTTATATCTATCTATTGAATCTATTCTATTGAACATTATATGTGAAGTTATCAATTTATATTTTATCATATTTGAATATTTTATATTCAAATATGATAAAATATATGATAAAAAGACATATATATATAGTTTGTCTTTTTCTTGCCAGATGATAATTCCTTTCTATATGTATCTATATCTATGATGTGCATTATTTCTAGTTTAGTTATAATTAAACGCCAATTTCAAACTAATCTACAGATCTGTTAAGATCTTTTCGGTCTTCCGAGAGATTAGATAAAGCGGCGATTAGATAAAAATCTAATATTTCTGATCGGATTAGAATCTTTCGAAAATAGATACACATATTCGAAAGCAGATTAAATATATGTATATACATAAGTAATGTTATACAACCATGATAATCTAAATGCACAAATATAAAACAGCAGCTGTATGCACAATTGCTTGTTTAATATATTAATATTGTAGATATATTTATCTTTAAATAAAACATATATTTCAATTTTTTCATATTTCAATTTCTATGTATAGTCCTTTTCTCTTTTCTATCTTTTTGTTTTCAAAACCATTTTTTCGTTTCTAGATTCTTTAAAATAATCATAATAAAAGTTTAAAGAAAGCTCTATTTCTTATTTTATTGCCGCATAGTTGTTATATACATATCTAGTTGTTACAGACATAATAAATCTACTATACAAATACTGTTTTAAGTAGCAGCTTTAAGTTTTAAAATAATCAAGATTATAATATTTATGTTATTTATTCAAAATTATGTAGTCCTTTTTTCGATATGTCATCAATAAGATTTTATAACAGAACAATTAACATAACAAAAACTTTTAATATCAATACCTAATTTAATTGATTTGTTCAATTATAAAATCGTAAAAAGTGTAACATGTTCTGAAAGTGTCACAAAATATCACGGTTAGTTTCTTGTATAATAAATTAGAATTCGTTTTATAATACTCTGTACATACACATTTAAGATTTAAGCAAACACAGTTTGCTGCTCAAAAGTTGTTGAATAATTCGATGGCATCATAAAGAAGTATCTTTTAGAAGAATTATTTATACATTTTTTTTCTAAGTTTTTTCGTTTATCAATTACAATAAGAATTAAATATAAAAAACTACGTTAACAATTTTATAAATTAAAGTTATATTTTTTCGAAACACATACTACTTATAAAATAGCATTTTGGAAATTACAACTGAAAATTATTGTAATTGATGTGCAAAAATATATAAAAATGCATTTACATTAACTTTCTTACTGATGCCGTCAATTTACAATATATTCAATATAAACACTGTACAAACATTTTTTCATCTCGGGAACATTTGTCAAAAGTTTTTGTCTTGAAGTTTATCATTATTATAAAATTATTTCAAAGTCGTGGAATTACCAATATATCCTTTTTCTCCCTCGAGGAGAACATACATTTTTTGTTCGTTTTATATTTTTTATATATTCAAACCTTTTATATCAAAACTTTGCACCAAACAGCACACCTGACGTGCTCTTCTTTTTAGAATCTTCTTCCATGACTCCGAACTTCTTATACTCGCCTACTTTTTTCTCAAAGAAATTTGTTTTACCCATCATAGAGATAAAATCCATGAAAGAGAACGGATTCTCCGAATTGTAAACCTAAAATTATCACGATATTTTATACCTCTTAATAAATAAAATTAAAATCTAAAATTTTATTACGAAATTATCAGTATCTATCATTATATATAAAATAAAAACATTACAAAATATTAAAATAAAGAATACACTCGTAAGCTTTTTTATACATTACCTTTTCAAATCCTAATGCAACGAATAATCTGTCCGCAACAAATTCGATGTAATTACACATGAATGTGTGATTCATTCCTATTAATTCAACCGGCAACGCTTGCGTTAAAAATTCCTTTTCAATTTCTACGGCGTCCATTACAATTGATTTCACACGCTCAAACGATGGTTTTTGTACGATGTGTTTAAACATTAAACAGGCGAAATCGCAGTGTAATCCCTGTAAAATAAATGATAAATATAAAATTTATTAAATAAAAATTGAATAACCTATTATAAAGAAAAAAATAAAATAAAACTAATTTACTGACTTCGTCTCGCGAGATAAGTTCGTTGCTGAAGGTGAGACCTGGCATGACTCCTCGTTTCTTTAGCCAAAAAATGGCTGCGAAACTGCCACTGAAGAAGATACCCTCAACCGCCGCAAATGCGACTACACGTTCGGGAAACGTAGCGCTCTCATGATTAATCCAATTTAATGCCCAAGTAGCTTTCTTCCTCACACAAGGAAGTGTCTCAATCGCATTAAATAAGAAATCTCTGGAAATAAGATTCATCAATGTAATTTCAGTAATAATATACTTAAAACATAAATATAAATTCAGTATAAATATAAAAATAATGCATAAGCTGAAGTAAATGAATTATTCTATTTTATGAAAGTAAGATGCAAATTATATACAACTTGAAATTATCGTATAGTGACCGAAAAGTATCAGACTGGCTAAATATCTCGGAAACAAGACTTGAGAAAAAAGTTTTATATAAAAGTTGCAAGATTTCAAATATATTAAACGGCGATATTCATTTGACCTTGAGCACAGGTATGAGCTTTAAAGTCAATTAAAGTCATTTAAAAATTTTTAATAGTAACTTCTATTCAATATTCTTAGTTGACATTAAGATCTTTTCAAAACACTACAAAAATATAAAAAAACTATAAAATTTCTTTTAGTTAAGTACTTTTGAGATATGGATTAATAAAGTTCAAATATCACCGATTATTAGATTTTTTTTGTATACTTGTGTTCAAGGTTAGATGCGTGTCAATGTTTGATTTATTTGACGAAACTTTACTTTTGTATTAAAATTTTTTTTTCTTAAATATTTTATTTTCGAGATATTTAGATCGTCCGATATTTTTTGTTCATTTGTAAAAGTTGTTAGTAATACTACATTCCATTCAATGGCTCTATGGTAGAAATCGATATGGGCCTCCTCTGGAGACGAGATTTCAAAACATTTTTTTTTTATTTTTTATTTTAATAAGTTGTTAACTTCTAATGTCTAACCCCCAAGCTTGGGAATCTATGCATATATCTACTGAGATATGGGATCTAGTTTTTAACGCTGGCTCCGAACGACAGTGGCAAATACACTCGGCAAATACACAATTTTGCTATTGCCTTCAGAAACATAGCAATCAAATCAAATTTTTGTGTTCTGGGTGAATTTAAACCCCAAATCTTTGGCACAGAAAGCAGCTGCGCCACGATCGCCACAGTAATACTGCATATAATATATAAATGTAAACAAATGTATGTCAAATATATTCTTACTTTTCTTTTGGATCAGAAATATAAGTTTCAATGAGCAAAGAGTACATCTCAGAATGAATATTTTCTATGGCAATTTGAAAGCCATAGAAACAACGTGCTTCGGGAATTTTCACCTCTTGGCTGAATCTCTCAATCAGATTCTCATTAACGATACCATCGGAAGCGGCAAAGAATGCTAAGACATGAGAGATAAAGTGTTTCTCATCGGAATTTAGCTTTTCATTCCAATCCTTTTTGTCTTGCTGTAAAAATTACAAGAATTCATTGTTAGGAATACATAATATTTATTAAAGTCTACTTTTATTTTAATTTTTTTACTTATTGAGCTATTCAATACGTTAAGTTTTCAAGTTGTATATTTTTATATCTTGAAAGAAAAAAATGTTATAACTTAAGAGCTTATACCTTGTGAAGGGATACTTCTTCTATGGTCCAAAAAGAGGCTACAGCCTTTTTATACATGTCCCAAATGTCAGGATACTGAATAGGGAAAATTACAAAACGGTTTGAGCCTTCCTGGAGTAGTGGCTCCAGTTTTGGATTGAAGTCCTCCTTTAGTTGTACCTTTCGTAAATATTAAGTTTATTATTATATTAGTACGGCTTTTGTCTTGGCAAGCTACAAATATATTGTTTTCATTAAAGCCATATTCCGACATATACATAGACAATACTAAAAATCTATAAAATGTATCAAGAAGTAAAACTGGGGTATATAAGTAAGATATGCCTACCCCATTTTTCAAACCGTGATCCTGAGATATAGTTGGAGAAATGCATGATTTCTTTGGTGATGTCTGCAAAAAAAATACTGTTGATTAAAATGCAATACAATATTAATTTTTGTAAGAAAATATAATAAAGAAATTGTTATATGTCTTCGCTACGTTATTGTATATATATAAATTATGTTATCATCAGGAAACATTATCATATTTTATGAATCACTTTATCAATTCAAATATTGTGAATATAAATGTATTCTAAACCAATGTTATAATTTAAAAAATTCTTTTCCGCAATTGAATGAAACACAAAGAAAATCTTAATATAGAAATAGGATTGCATAATTTCATGCAAAAAATAGAAAACACTTCTAATAAGCAGACATTATTTTGATAGAATATTCTTAATATAAAAATAAGCGACAAAATAATAAATAAAATTTTGGCAATATCTTATACTAAAAATATTTTGAATTAAATTATTCAAGTATGTTCAGTTTATTTCGAGTTAGATATCGCGTGGATTTTTAACTACGTAATTTGTAAAACAAATGAATCTGAGTATGTACTTTTATCTGAATCAGAAAAAAATTTTAGAAGAATTTACTGAATTTATCCTGATTATACATAACTATTCCTTTATACATAAATTAATGTATTTCTTGTATTTAACGAGTGAGAAGTGTTTATGAAGATTTCAAAAATATTCATAACCTAAAGAAGTATCTAGAAAAGCGGAAAAATTCTGCCAAGGAGAATAATGCAATGAATTTTTTACCTCTTCATTCATCTTAGGTTACTGACGACGATAACATCAAATATGAAATTGTAAATATACTTAATAATAAAACATTCTGATGAAAGATACTGGACATTCTAAACATAATGCATATATATAGCTACTCACATATATAGCTAATATACGCACAAGTTAAATACATTCGCCAGTGTGTAACGTCGTGTCTCAACCAAGTGTTTTAACGCAATTATCATCGTATTACACTCCATCATTAGTTAATGATTTTTCATGCGTTTGCAAAATGCTTTTTTGTTTCTTATCGTGTTAATGAACGAAGATCTACATTTCGACATTTCGCAGACACGTGTCCGAAAACATAACCACTCTTAGAAAGCAGAAAAGAGCCTATTCCATGTATGGCGGAGAAGGAAGAGAATTGCGATAGAATCATTTTCTTGGAATTACGATTCTACTCGCGGAAATTGTAGAAGTCACATCTAAAATATAAATACATTAATTTTCAATTCTCTGGACATTTTCTTAAAGAGAAACTATTATTTCAAATTCGCCACAGTATTATTAAAAATGAGATTTTAAAAAACAGGAGAAAAAAAACGGAAAGATTTTGAAGATATTAGGAAGTTTTTTGCAATTATCTAGATATAGTGAACGCTAAGGTCACGTTATCTTCTTCTTAACAACTAATTAAGAAAAGGATAATGTGACTTTAGCGTTCACCATAACTGGATCCACATTATTGCAAGAACTCCCTATTGTCGCAGTTAAAATATTTAAAAAAATAGATGCGTGACTGTGAAATGAGATATACAGGATGTTCCATTTAGAATTCATTTTTAATAATACATTGACTAATTATACATATCCCAATTATACATTTCTACATGTAAAATCGTAATTCTCAGAAAATGAATCCGCTAATATAATATTCGCCTCATATATA